GTGTGTGTGTGTGTGTTAGTCAAAGCCAAAAAACCTTTCATCTTCGCTTCTATGCATAGTAGCCTGCAAAAGCCGCTGAACCTCACACCATAATTGTTGCTAGTTTATGTCGTGAATCAGACGGCCCATTCATGATGACAGTGCGCGTTTTCGCTTCTCCAGAGTCTGCCAGCGCCTCTTAGCCTACAGAAAAGCAAAGAAGTGATAGAGCCTATTAAAGCAAAGTGCTATTCCCAACAACTTCAAACTAAAAAAACAAAGCGTTCTAGCGCACAGCTGCTCTACACGGAAACACTACTAGATAAAACAATGTGCACTACGACGTTCAGACGTCCAGTGCTATGACCGCGGAACAAGAAGGATTCTGCCCTCAAAACGGCGGAGCCCACACGATGATGCCCATACAGGAGAGCTTCCAGACGTTGGCCTCTGAAGCACTCGCAGCTTCCGGGGCCCAAGAAGCCCCCATCGGCGCTAAGAACCTGCACTCCACTTGCACCACCCAGGCTTGTGAGTGGCTCCTCACCACTGGCCTCATGAACGGAAGTACAGTGGAAAAAGCCACGTTCTTCAAGGGTGTTGTATACAACGGCGAGGACCACACTGAGCCTGTTCCTGGCATGTACACCAATTTTCAGAAAGGGGTTCAGCCGGTTGCTTTTTTCACGGCGAGGGACAAAATCCTCGTGAAAATGGTACGCACAGGCCNGTTCAGCCGGTTGCTTTTTTCACGGCGAGGGACAAAATCCTCGTGAAAATGGTACGCACAGGCCAATGGGAGAATGAGGTTCCTGCTACCGCGTTCTACACGTGGGTTTGCGAGCACTACGAGCTCACACCTGAGGAATCGCGAACGGCCCATTTGACTGATGAGAATGGTTTTCTTATTCCTTCACCCAAGAAGTTTCCGTGGTGGGCTGGGCTACTCATTGCAGTGGGTGTCTGTGGGATCGTGGCACTCATACTCGTGTGCTGCTGCTGCTGCAACAAGCATAATAGGGAAATGGAGGAAGAAAGAGAAGTCGCGAATGATTTGAAGGCAGGTGAGAATATTCATCGTATTCCCACACAGTCCGAATTGGGTATAGGCCGATCCTCAAGCATATACCNTGTCTGTGGGATCGTGGCACTCATACTCGTGTGCTGCTGCTGCTGCAACAAGCATAATAGGGAAATGGAGGAAGAAAGAGAAGTCGCGAATGATTTGAAGGCAGGTGAGAATATTCATCGTATTCCCACACAGTCCGAATTGGGTATAGGCCGATCCTCAAGCATATACCAGGATGGCGACGGGTACGACAGCGGAGTGGAGAGCGTTTCCGGAATGGAAGCCAACCCACTCGATGCTGGCTACGGTGATGCCGACGGTTTTGAACCGCAGGTTGCCTATGCCGACCAAGGTGCATATCCTCCAGAAGAAGTATATTGAGTTCTGTTTGTTTTATGTGTTTCGATATTTTCGCTGCCCTTTCTCGGAAGCCTTGCAAGTACTTGTAGGGCTTTAACTGTCTGACGAATATCTTTTCCTTTTATCGTTAGACCTAAAATGACACCTGTGGGCTCGCGCGCCGTGATAATGGCGCTTGACGCCGGCACGCCGCATTTTATGGGGCACATGGTCTTTACTGTGAAGCAAAACTGATAAAATGAGGTGAAACTTGTGTTTTGAAACTGAGAGTTGTGAATGAGAGTATAGTGCAATAGAATTCCCGTTGTGTTGTGTCCCCGAGATGAGTACCCGTGACACGCAGCACGTTGGCCCGCTGCATGTAGGAGGAAGAATCGGGGTTTCGCCTTTTTCCCTGTGCTCCGCTTACATGCGCCGTGTCCTCGTGATTGTTCAAGTGGAGGACACCATGGCAGAGAAATCGCTTCTACTTTTATTATTTTTCATTGT